TTTTTTTTTTTTTTTTTTTTTTTTTTCAGTTGTGCCAGTTGATCGCATTGTGCTTAAAGCTTGAGTAAAAGGGAGAAGGAAAATAGGTAGGTTATTCAAGCAAGTAAAAAACATTTAGGGAAGATGAAGAGTAAAGTTGAATATATTATAGGGATCAAATTAAAAATGAAACCAAATAAGATTGAAGTCCTTAATGGATTAAAATGAAAATTTTAAAAACATGGATCAAACTAAAGCTATGCTTAAACCAAAGGAACTAAATTTATATTATTTTATTTGTTTTGCTTATATTAGTACTCTAACACTGAAAATATTAGAAAGGATAGGATATTATTAATATATGGATAATGGTACATTTTAATTTTGGGATGGAGATTTCAAGCCATGAATTATTTGTTTCTGGGGGTACTATACAAATTAGGACAAGAAAAATAAATTAAGAACTATAAGTGGGAATATGAGGCATTTTCATTATTCATCATACAATAAATGCAAAAAAGAAAAAAGAAGGGAAATATTTTGATGATGTATAACCAGTCTTGTTATCTAATTTGTGCATGTACTTGATTGGGCCCTTTAGCGCGCCGCCTCCTTCCAATGGCAGCCGAACCTATGGTGGACCCTCCATTAATGAGAACCAAGAGGGCCGCGCCAACAAATACTCCGTCTTTGACCAAATAGCATTCTCCTTCCACCCACCCCTTCCCATACTCCTGTCTCCTGCTCATGCTGGTTGCTCCCATCATCATCGCCACCGCAATTCCGAAGCTGACCCTGGTATTTCATTTTATTTACCATTTTAGCCTCTGTTTATTAATTTTTTTACCTAAATATATGCTTTAATATTGAAGGGCGTTTTAAATTTATTCCATATTAGAACTTTTTTTAATTTATTCTTCAATGTTCGTTACATTTTTCAGTTTTCAGTTAGATAGTTGAAATTGGTTGATTATAAACTTATATAAGATAGGTTGAGTTGAAACTTAGGAAAGAATTATTAGAAAAATTATACTAGCTGAGAGAAGAAAATTTATAATCCCTTTTTCTAAGATTCTTTTAAGTGCTTTAATTTATATGTATGCAACTTGCTAAGAATCGTTTTTCTTATAAGCTTACATTAATTAATTTTGACATTCATGGAAGGACACATTGAAAATATTAAAACATAAAAGGCTGAACGAAAAGACTTCTTTTCGTTTTACTTTTACCACTATTTAAAGAATGGTTATGGTTGTAAGGTAAGTTTTAAAATTACTGTATGCCTTTCTTTTTTGAAAATATTACTTTATTCTTGAAATAATTCTCTCGTACTATAATTGTTTTATTAATAATAATATTGTTGTCTAGTAATTAATTAGATCATGGATCCCATGTATAGGAATCCGAAACACCTCAAAGCTGGCCACGTTCCTTTAGCATATTATCTTTTTAGTTTCCTCTCTCCCTCCGATGACCAGCTCTGCTATTCCTTTTATAATTCATTAATTGAATTTCTCTAACTTTTTTTTCTGAAAGTTGTCTAAAAATTTGGGCACAGTAACAATAAATACCAAAAAGGGTTACTGTTACTACCAAAATTTCCCCAAATGAACTGAGAAATACAGAAAAAAAAGGAAAGAAAGAAGAAGATTATTGTGAAAAAACAATTACTTACCAAGAAATGAGAAGGGTGGTTGAAAGCAGAGGCCTTTTGACACTGCAACTCTTTCTGTGCTCTTTTGGCCAATAGGTGTGGCAGATTATGGTGTTTCCGATGATATGAGCCATTATTAAACAGACAATACCTGCGACTCCCAATTTGAATGCTTCACTTTCAGGCAGGAAGCAGAATCTACCGTTCAACTTCAGGTCCTTTTTCTACAATAGATTCCGATTATGATGTTCGAGGAAGCTTTAATTTGTACGAAGAATTAATATTGTAAATGGGAAAGAAATTGAAAGAAACTTACTTTTGTTCTGTTGAATTCAGCAGCCATACATGATGCAAAGGAGGCGAGGGTGAGGACGGCGACAATGGAAAAGCTTATCACGAAACTGGAAGGAGGCTTTTCCATGGCGGCCAGAAGATCGAAGAAGCAGTGGGAGTTTAAATCACGGGACAAGACCCTTGGAGGTTAGTGGTGGAAAATTCATCATTTTCTCTCTTGACTTGTGAAAGTCGAGACTTTTTTCGAATCAAATCTCTCGTTTTTCATCTTCATCACTGGTCAAATACGAGGGAAGGGGGAGAGAGAGAGAGGGAGAGAGAGAAAGAGAGAATTTTCCAACAAAAAATTGGAAGAAGATAATAAAATCTCAATTGGACGAAAATTTGAATATCTTTTCTTTTTAACCAATTAAACAATGTTTAGGTTCACAAATTGTATGTTGGACTCCGAATATTTTGCAGCAATTTATTCTTTTTTTCTGACTTTGAAGGTACACCCTTCCCCATATACCGGTTTATCCGAAACTTATCAAACACAAGAAAAGGATTGAAGTCCCACCATATGGAAAGCCAATAGAAAAGTAGGTGGGGGAGGGAGAGAGAAAGAGTTGACCTTTGCTAATTGACGACTTCAAATAAATGGGTTTTCTTTGGCTAATGGAATAAATGAACGCCTTTAACATCAGATTCTCAAAGAAATTACGAAGCTTCAACTTCAAATGTCTCTTTTTAGAAAGTTCTTGAAAGAACCTCACCCTCCTCTCTTTTTCCACTTCCATTAAGAACATGGAATGACTGACTTTAAAACATGTGCTTAATTATCAAGATTAGTGCAGCTTTCGCTAATGGGCATTTTGTTAATCCCCTTTGCATTCAGTTCTCTTTCATCTTTTTCTGAAGAAAATTGGTTTTCTTATTAAAAAAAAATGTTATCTTTTTGTGTTTTTTTTATCATTAAAGCCTTTTTTTCTTCTCAGTATTTGGTTTCTTATCCAATAAATAAAAGGGTGATTTGTGATTCTATTCCTTCATATCCTGATAAGTGTAATTTCAATTTTCATTTTGTTCTGATTCTCAAAAAAGTATGTTAAATATTTATATTTTGAAACGGTGATCTGTACAATTAGTTAGTCTTTTGATTTCTTTGATGATTTGTTTTATGAATTACACAACTCTTTATGTTATTTTCAGAAAAGAAATGAAGCACCTAACATTGTTACGTTATCCTGAAGTTTCCATCAATTTCTCTTCCTTTTAAGAGTTTCAAGGACAGATTTTGCAGTGCAATAAGCAATAGCCTGAACAGTAACCATAGGATTCACTCCCAAAGCAGTTGGAAAGACACTGGAATCAGCAATGAAGAGCCCTTCCACCTCCCATGTCTCCCCTCTCTGATTCACCACAGAATCCTTTGCTCCAATTCCCATTCTGCAGCTTCCCATTTGATGAGCTGAACAGATTGGCGTCAACAAATCCTTCAATGGCCTTGAACTTTCCTCTTTCACAAACCTTTCGTACTCTCTGTAACTCACTTTCTTCACATTTATGCTTCTTCCCTTGTTATGGTGTGTTCCTATTTCCTCTGCCCCAGCTGCTCCCAAAATCTTTAAAGCCTTCTCCAGTCCTTTCTGTAGATTCTTTTCGTCCCCATCATCCATTATGTAGCTTAATGAGCTTGAAGATTCTACTGTTCCTGACCCTTTGTCTCTTGCCAATGCAAATACATGAGCTGTCCGGGAAAATTTGCACATTCTTTGTTTGATATTTGTTCCAGATACCCATGGCATTAAGATTGAGAAGAGGCCTGGGTGCAATGCTGGTGTCTGGATTACAGCTCCTCCATATCCAGGCTCTTGATCAGGTGATGACCCTATGTTACACATGGCTGTCATTATTCCTCCTTCGTAGCTTTTCTTGTCTTTCTCTGGCCATGATTCATCTGTAAAGGAAGAATGTTAATGAATTTGTGAGATCCACGTCGGTGGGAGAGTGGAATGAAACATTCCTTTTAAGGGTGTGAAAACCTTTTCCTAACTGACGGGTTTTAAAACATTGAGGGAAAGTCCGGAAGAGAAAGTCTAAAGAGAACAATATCTATTAGCGATGAGCTTAGGCTATTACAAATGGTATCAGAGTCAGGCACCGGGCGATGTGCCAGCAAGAACGCTAGGCCCCCAAGGGGGGTGGATTGTGGGATTCCACGTTGGTTGGAGAAGAGAACGAATCATTACTTTTAAGGGTGTGGAAACTCTCCCTAATAGATAGACGCATTTTAGAACTTTGAGGAAAAGCTCGAAAGGGAAAACCCAACGAAGACAATATCTGCTGGTGGGCTTGGGTGGTTACAAATGATTTCAGACCCAGACATCAGGCACTGGGCCAGAGAAGATGTTGGGCCCACCAAAGAGGGTGGATTTTGAGATCCCACATCGATTGGAGAGGGGAACGAATCATTTCTTTTAAGGGTGTGGAAGCCTCTCCCTAATAGTCGCGTCTTAAAACTTTGAGGGAGAGCTCGGAAGGAAAAGTCCAATTAGGACAATATCTGCTAGCGGTGAACTTGGACTGTAACAAATGGTATCAAAGCGAGCCAAGCACTAAGCCAGGAAGCTGGGCCTTCAAGGGAGTGGATTGAGAAGGGGACAAAACATTCATTTTAAGGGTGTGAAACCTCTGCCTAACAAACCTGTTTCACAAAATTCTGAGTGTTTTGTTTTTGCTTGCCTCCTAAATGCACATGGTATGGATGACTAAAAGTGTTGAAGAATGCTAAAAATAGTTAAAAAACTACTTAAAAGTGCTTTTGGAGGAAGCATCCGATAAGTGTAGCGTGATACTGCAATTCGTGTGCTATGTTACCTTTCTGGTAGAAATATGATATTATCAGTTATCACATACCTGTTTCTGCAGGGAAATAACCCCACGCCATTGTCACAGGATGAAGATGCAAGTTTTTACCAATATTGGGGTTTCTCAAGCCGCTTCTTTTCAACAATTGAGGAGTACAGAGCGCCCCACATGCTACAATAGTCACCTTGGACTCAACCAAGCACATCTGTTTGGCTCCTGATCCACACCCAAATTCAAAGGCAACGCCTTTTGCTCTGTTGCGTTTGCGCCCGTCCTTCTCCTGCGTTATTCTAATGGCTTCGCAGCCCGGTAGTATAGCGCCATTTCCCGACCTTACCAAGTCCACAAGCCATGTCTCTGCAGTGCCCTTCTTTCTCCCATTCTTGCAGCCTAGACAGCACCATCCACAGTAATGATCAGAAGCTGAATTCCTAGGAATATTGATAGCTTTACAACCCAATTCCTCACACCCTTTTCTTAAAACTGCATTGTTAAAGCCTTCATTGTCAATTTCTGACTGAACTCCCATTCTCTTACAGACTACTTCCAATGCTTCTTTATACAAATTGCTTCCGAACAGCTCCAATTCATACTCATCTGACCATTCTCTGGTTACATGGCTTGGTGTCTGAATTGAAGCTGACCAATTGACTGTTGAACCTCCACCAACAGTAGAGCCTGCAAGTATAAGCACATTCATGTTATCAGTTGCCACTAACCCACTTGATAGGTACATTTCTTCCATGGCTGGTCCTTCAAGGAGTGACAGGTTTGTTCTAGCACAATAGCTTCCTTTCTCTAATACAACCACTTTGTACCCTGCACTAGCTAGCACACCAGCCACCACTCCGCCGCCCGACCCAGACCCGACCACCACCGCGTCGCACTTGATAATCATTGAAGGGCTGGGAGATTTGATGCTTGGGGAAAGAAGAGTGACTGGAAATCCAAACTTTCTAAGTGCTCCTACAGCTACTTGTTGGTGTTCTAGATTGACAATGCCTTTGAAAAGAGGTCCGTAAAGCTCCTCTTCTTCTTCCACAATTTCTCTTGATCTGACTTTTTCTTTCAGGTTCCATTCTTCTGACTGCCTGGCTTTAGCTTTGAATTGGGGGTCGCTTCCCGGGTAGTCAATTGCTTTCCATGATATGTTGTTCATCTCCTCATCAACCTAACCCAGCCACGGAGCAAGAAATTTTCTTAGCAGGTAATTTTTTTACATGCTAGTTTAATATATATATATATTTAATTTTCTTTTGGTATTCAAATCTCTTATCTGGGGGCGTATATGATACCTGGCTCGGGGAGAGATGTAAAAAAAATTACCAACTTGACCCTTAGCCCAAGTGTTATATTTGGTTATTTACTAAAATCTCATTTTGGGGAGAAAGATTAGATTGACAATCAAACCTATTTCTCGATTTAATAGAAGCCCAAAAAGATGAATAGGGTCCCAAAACCTCAAGCTTGAGGACGAAGTTATCCCATAAAACGACCCACTTGAAGCGCCCTAAATAAGAAAAGAAATATCTATATATATATTCTTAGAAAATATGTGAACGATGGTTTTCACTTTTATTTCTCTCAGAGTCACAATCTTCCAATATAATTTTTAGAAACAAAATCAGGAAATAAAACTTTATTGAATTCATTTACTTAATTGAAAATTGGAAGAGCATGCAAAAATGATTTCCTTAGTTTGGAAAAAATAATATAAAAAAATCGTTAGTATCTTATTTTTTTAAAAAAAAAGAAAAAAATTATTATAAAAAGTCAACCTAGTGGATGTAAATTTAATATAATTAATTAAAGGAAGAGAGTTGAAAGTGACAAATCTTGTGAGAAACCTTAAATACTCGGTCTGGAGTATTGGAGCATTTATTTGTGTCAGATTGTCAGTGATAAAGAAAACCAGACCATTATATGCAAAAACTTGCATGTACAGTGTCCACGGAGATCATCACTACCTATTTCATTTCCTGTTGGAGGTAAAATTTATTATTTATTTTTTGGGATCGAGACCCAACTCATCCATCTCACCTTAAAAAAATGTTCTTCACTAAATTTTCTTTCGGACTCAAAACTGTTCTTCACTCTCATTTATTTCTCCTCTAAACAGAAAATCTTCGTTCGGGATAGGTCTCGTAGGTAAAAGATAGACATAACGTTCATTTTATAGAAATTCATAGCAATATTTAAATCTCAGGTATACCTTATACTCTATTCTATTTTAGAGATGCAATTAAGGGATCTATTATAATTTATTTATTTTTACTTCAAAAAAGTGTAGGTATCGTCGTTACCTATAGACAAACATAAGTCTTTTTAGTATGTTTGTTCTCACTCCCATGCATTTTAAGAAAATTCTTAGAAATTTATTTAACATATAATTTCTTCAAGTAAAACATGCTTAAATATGAAGTTTTTATGAGTGAGCTACTTAAATGAAGGTATACTTTGTTAGTATAAGTATTAACGTTTATTTCCTTTAAGCTTTTCTTAGTCATCCTATTATTAAATCGTTCTCATTCTAACATGATCTTAGTTCATTCATGTATCCTTCCTTTATTCGAGTGTCACGTCATAAAAAAAAATAATAAATAAAAAAAATTCAAATCTTCCTACTCCGTTATTAAAAAATCCTTAGCTATTTTTGAGTTGAAAAAGACATAAACAACCTTCTTTCTGAACTTAAAAGAGGAAGATTTGAATCCCTATATTTTAAAAACGTGTAGAAAGGAAGGGTACAAGTGGACTGACCTTAGTTAATAACAATTAATGTTAACATAAAAATAATTATAATAATAAGAAAACTGACCTGCGTGAAGAAAGCAAGGTGGCAAAGGATCTTAATAGTTCTGAAGAACATTCTGAGTAGCAAGAAATAGCTGAGAGACCATGAGACCACAACTTGTTCCCTTTTCTTCTGAGAAACCTTTGAAAACCTTTGAAAGTATGGGAAATGATTTGAAAGGCTTCCATTCCCACATAAAATGTATGTACCATACCATGTTGATAACATCCATAGGCTCACTCTCATCAACCATTTCTTTGGATGCCTCACTCTCTCCTTTATCATCCCTCCGACCTGCACGTCCGATCAAATTTTACCATATAACTTTTTACGTACGTAACTTAAACGACATGTTCAGACAAAAATTTTAAGATTTTACTAATGTGACTATCTTTTAATAACCGTTGAGGTTCAAATAACCCTAACCCATTTCAAATAACCCTCAAATATTGCTACCCGACATGAATTTGCATGCTCTTTTGTAATTGAAGAGTATAAATTTGAGGTATTTTTACTGTTTCTCTCATATATTCAACTGTAAGGTCTTTTTGAATAGTTTTAATAAAAAAATAAAAAAAAAAAGAAAGGAGTAGGTAACAGGCAATATTTGTTTGCTATTTAGGTAGCATTGATGACTAATGAGTGGTTGAGAAAACAAGAATAGAAATACATCTAGCCTACCTGAGTATATCTCGTGACATGTACTCATTTTTTTGAGGTCGGAAGTTCAAAGAACTCCAACCCATTTTTTAACTCAAAAAAAGAAAGAAGTGGGTAACGAACAATATCTGTTATCTAATTAGCCTTTTGATGACTAATAACTTATTGAGAAAGCGAGAATAGACATACATCTAGTTTACATGAGTGTATCTCGTGACATGTACTCATTCTTTTTAGGTTAGAAGTTCAAATAATTCCAACCCATTTTTTAACCAAAAAAGAAAAAACATGCGTAACGAACAATATCTGTTACCTAATTAGCCTTTTGATACGTCTACTTGAGGTTTTTTTTTTTTTTTTTCTAAGAAAATTAAAATTTTAATTGGATAAATTCAAAAAATATACCCACAATACATTCAGCTTTATATTTTTCTTTCTTTAAAATTTCCTTTTAATTTTTTTTTAATTAAGATTATATAAATATTAATATTGGGTTGAACTAAAAAAAATATATTTCTACAAGTATTTACATGCATGCAAGTGGATCTCCAAATAGAGGTTTGATAATGGAAGATTGATGCGCAGTCCTTACCCTTTCGGGAGTTCCGGCGGCGGAGGCGGAAGTCTCAAAGAACTCGGAGGCGGATCCGTCGGTGGCGGCGACCGACGGCAAGAATGTGTCGCAGAGAGCAGCGAGAGACTCCATCTCGGCGGCGGAGAGGGAGTAGTTGAAGTTTGCATGTTGTGAAATTCCTGCCGGTCCTCCATCGTGGAGGCTGTCGGCGCCGCCGTTGAGCTCTATCACGCACTGGTGGAGTTGCGGTTTCGACTCCCCGTCGCCGCCGCAACTCGCCGCCGCACCGAAATATCCCATTTTTGGGTCTCGAAGCTTTCCAGGTTCGGTCATAGCGTTTCAATGAAAGAGGACTCGGCGTTTGATTTCTTTATTTATTTCTAGTATAAATAAATAAATAAACCAAAAATATTATTTATTCAGGGAGGACACGTGGCGTAATTCAGAGCCAGAACTAATGTTTGACTTTTTATGGTCTAGCCAATCGTTTGACTGTCGAATTAATGTCATTTGAAGACGTTAGGGTAACAATTTTTTTCTCTCCATTTTTTTTTTGTTTATTTTTTTTAAAACCAAAAACAAATTTTAATTTAATTTGATTTAATTCTCAAAACTTGATTAAATTTATAAAAATATTGGTAAAAAATTTGATAATAAAACAAAAAATTATAGGTGAAATTAATATTTAATTTTTTTTTAAATAAATGATTACCAAAAAGTCTTCTTCATTTTTAATTTTACATCTTTTGGGTTTATTTTCTCACAAGTTCTATATATGATTATTATTTTTTAATAAAAATTTTGAATTTTGTATCTAAATTTTAAATTAAATACAAAAAAAAATTAAATATTAGATGTAAAATAAAAATTTTAAGTACTTATTTTATCAATAATTTTTAAAATATTTATTTTTGTCATAACATTTTTGCCCCTATTTTTTTTTTTGAATATTAAAAATATCTATTAATTCTTAATTATTCAAAATTTAACAAATTAATATATATATATATATATATATATATATATATATATATATATATATATATATATATATATATAA